TTGCACGTCACTTTCTGACTTTATCGGATCCTTACCACGCTGTAGTCTTCACTGCAGGAATCCACCAGTGAAAGAAGATGCCAAAAAGTTGCATCTCTGTCAGTCTCTATATGACGTTCAGAGCAGGTGGTCTTGTTTGCTAACTGACCATGGAAGATCTGAAAAAAGTACAAATACTTGTTGGCAAGTGATATTTTCACCCAGCTTTCAAACTAAAAGGCTCACTTTTACAACAAGTCAACCAACAGGAGAACAGTCTCTACCTGTGATGCATCCGCACTGGTCATTCTTAAAACCCTTTAAAAGTACTCTGCAGCATCACACTGTTCATACACTGGGTGGGGAAATAAAAGTGTATGTCTTCAACAAAACTATTCATTTTTAAAATAAAAATGTTTTTTGCTTTAGAATTATCCAGTTGAACAATTTAAACAAGTTGAATTATTAAATTATAATAAAAAAAAAAAAACTACACAGGATGCAGCTCACATCAGAAGATTTTACATCAAAACCTCATGTAGATTGAACTTTATCAGGGAGAATCTTTAGACCATTCAAAGGTTGTGCTGTTTTGTGTGTTAACAAAGTGAACCATTGTCCATGCTCAGCTTCTGTTTTATTTTGTGTGTATGATTCTGTAAGTCATCAAATAAGACTTTAAAATGATGAACTCGGTGTAAGGATTTTCTCCAGAGTACCTACACGGAAGTACACGAGTAATTAAAAATGCACAATTGACTACATATATGATAAATACAGAATCACACTTAAAGCTGGGCAGTAGTCACGAACAGCACCTGCAGCACACTGTTCAAGTAATCTGTCATTCCCTGGTTTATCAGTCCATGGTACCTGTTAGCTGCTGGGAGGAGACTGATCATGTAAATTTCAGAACTATGAGCAAATAATTATTATGGGTCATAAACTACAACAGGCTAAAATGGTCAAAAACCCTGTGCAGTGATAAACTGCACTTTTGATTTTATAGATGACCTCTTTTACTGGACAGAGAAAACGCAGACTCAGAGTGTACAAAGTATTGAATCATTTTATTCAACCATCTTCCGAAAGAGAGATGTGCACAGCGCTAAACCACTTGCAGATCTAAAGCATTACCAGCATATCATTTATGTTATAATCCACTCCCTCCTCCCCTACTAAACCGTCACTTGATCTATTTCAATACTACATGTCTGCCCTATAGCTGCAAAAACATCTGCACCATAGCTCCTCATGTTATTTTGGCACACTTACACGTCACACAGTTTTGATCAAAACAACTTCTATACTTCTGCCCCTACTTGGTGTGTGTGTGTGTGTGCGCATTGCTTAGTTCCGCTTTTCTCTACTTCCTGTTCTTCACAGTTTCCTGTTCTTGCTCAGCAATTGATAACCTTTAACACACTTTATGACTGAGAAGTGGCCTTTTTAATATACTGGCCTGGATAAAACAAACAGAAAATAAGCACTAAGAATATATATTTATTTCCTAACACAGTCTAATTAATCAATAAATTAATAAAATAATAAGAATTTACCAAAATATTCAAAGTGAACCATTAAGCTCAAGGTCCTCAGTAAAATTCTTATTTGTAAAATGGAAGAAGTCCAGAGACACCTTCTTCATTATAGCAGTGCAGCTAGACAGAAACCACTCAGTACACACACTAAACCAGAAGTGGCTGAGAGAAATGTTTCTACCTGTAAGGGCCAGTTATTGAAAGTCATCTAAAAACAATAGACATAGGTGTTAAATATGTGTGTGTAAAAAAAACTCAAAACATCTGGCATCTGATCAGATCTTACCCAGAGAGGTGTTGCTGAATAGCTGTCGAGTTCTCTCCAACAAAGACATTTTCAGTCACTTCACTTCTGTGTTACGGAGAGCTGCAAAAGAATTAAAAGTCTACACAGCAAAATCTCTAGTGTTAAATTAACACTAGAGAGAGTCTATATGTGTCCACTCTTCTGAGTGTTAAATATAATGCTGTTGAGTGTTAAATGAACACTTTTGACAGTGTTATATTTTTAAAAGTAACCTAGTCAGTTTTGAAGATAACAACGACCAACACTCAGCAGTGCTGATTTTTTAACACTGGAAAATAACTCAAAATGTTAGAAATATTCCAGTGTTAGAAAATCAGCACTGCTGAGCGTTGGTCGTTGTTAATCTTCAAAACTGACTAGGTTACTTTTAAAAATATAACACTGTCAAATCCAAATAATTTGTTTGGAAATAATACTTATTAGCTTTGTTGCAATGAGAAGATTGATACTACTCTAACCTATTGCTACAGTCAGCAGAAAGTGATTGTGAGATGAATGAGGACCCACTCAAACAGTTCGTTACTACATATTTTATTTTTTTGTTTGTTTGATTTTTCCAACACTCGGTCATAGCTTTCCAGCTGCCAACCACACCCACACACAACAACACCTCAGGTCCCAGCACATCCTTCATAAGGGAGACATGACCAGTTAATGGAACTCAGGTGTGTGTCAGCCTCCTCTGACACCGCACTCTGAACCCACTGCCCCACCTGTCCCCTGCAGCTGAGCCACAAACCAAACCCCGCCACAGTGATCTTAGCTCAGTACATTGGCTAGAAGAAAAGTGGAAAAAACACACCAGGGCAAGTTCACCAATTTCAAAAACAGAAGTGTAAACACTCCAGGAAGTTACAGATAGAGTCCAGAAATTGTTCCCAGAAGAACAAAGACACATTATGTTGTTTAATGATTCATTGGGCAGAGCTAGGTGATATGCAAACATAGCTCTGTTCCAGCTTTCTGTTTGAGTTTTACTAGAAAGACAATTTAATCTAAAGGAAGGTCTGGTATGAGATAGGCATACTTAATTAGGGTCCATGGTTCCTGCTACTTTCTGCACAACATAGGTATGGATGTTTGTCTGGGAGCCACACCATCACTGCAGGACATGTAGTGAGTGCTGGTTTTCAAGCACACAGGAGTGAGTTTCAAACACAAAAAGCAGAACTCTTTGTGACAGCGAGGACAGGTGATGTTCTTGCAGCCTGTTTTATTGTGCTCCACTATCTCACCACACGTGGGACAGGCCCGGATGAAGGGACAGGCGTCAGCCCCCTCAACCTCTTGGAAATCAGTAGTCTTGCAGTTCTTGAGAACTTCGAGTTTTTGGTTTACGCAGCCATCATTATCACAGCGGTCTGAGCGTGGAGCTCTACCTTTCCACGGCCTCAAACACTGGCAGCAGAACTCGTACACTTTGTTGTTGTCTGCTGTGCAGATCATGCACCTCACACTCAGGTTAGTCAGATCCTCTCTCTCCACATAAGTCTTGCAACCAGGACACTGTTGTGAGAAGAATAAAAGGAATAGTTCAAGGTGTTCTTCGCTTTCATCATAGTGATTCCAGATTCTGTCAGCAAAAGTCAGTACTAAATGGTACTATAAGTACTGTATCTTCAGGCTCTCAGGTGGCACCACATTAAAAAATCAATACGACCTGCGAACAAAATCTCTGTAATAGCTCAACAATTCGAAAAAAATAGTTTCAGTAACCACAGTTCATTGATACATTGCAGTGATAATCTCAAGTTAACAGTGCTCTCATGTAACATTTATAAAACAGCCATGTCCACCCAGAAGGTTTGCCAGTACTTCTTTGAGTCAAGCTGAAAGACCTCCTTCCTGCTCTTCTTAAAATTCTCCCACAGCCTCTGCATGTCTCAATCTTTCAAACAAACTTATATATCAGCAGCAGAATAAACCATAGTCCCTTGGGCTAAAAAAAACAGCATAAACCGAGCCTGCAGCCCCACAAACTTTGCATGCAGAGTTGGGTTTAAAGGTCATAAGGCCACACCTTGGAAAAGTGGGTGCTAGCTGTGTAGTTTACTTGTTTCTCTTTAGGTACTCCAGCTTTCTGCCCCAAATTCATGCTCATTCATCTATATTTGTATTTTCTGGAACTTTTATTTTCTTTGTGGGATCT